ATTAGATACTGGCTACTGGCTTTATTTATGGAACACCAGAATGAAGTAATTGCATAGCATTGTATGAACACAACAAAATTGAGACAGCGTAGTTCTCCACCACATATGAAGGTCTCCTACCCTCGAAAAAACCCCCCAAATTCCATTTTAGTAGTAGAAACTTGATACTTGACCTGTACAGCAATGTTCTGAGAAAGCTTCAGGGAAGAGCTATCCTGATCATCATCCTGATCCACTCTGACTCCTTCAACCCCATTTGTTGGAGGCATCACAGGTCGGAAATCCAAGCCTGTGTCCCTGCTACCTTCCTTTAGGATGGAGGCTTGTGGGGATTTCTCTTCAGAGCAATTCCTGGAGGCAAGCTGCTGTGTATGGCACCCTGCCTTAAGAGACCGAGTGATTGGATGGAGGCTCTCCTGGAGGCTCGTGTCCCCCTCCTCTCCTGCTGTGCTGGCCAAGTCCTTCAAATCAGACTGAGACCCACTGCCAGAAAGACAAAGTGCTGTGGCTATCAAGTTTTCTCCTAAAACCTCCTGATGCGCTGCTGAAGTGTCACCTGCTGATGAACCAGGATTCTGCTCTGGGTGTTCCAAATGCACATTTCTGTTATTCTCCTTGGTTATCGTTTGGCTACTTACACTCGACGGAGGCAAGTTCTTCTGCTTCTCTGCGGGGTCTTTGGGGCTATTGAAAACAAAAGATAAAAAGATTCTGGGCTTCGGGTATAGCTCAGTGGTAAAGCATTTGCCTAACATGTTTGAGGTCCTGGGTGCGATTCTGAGCACCACCACCGAAAACAAAAATTTCTCTCTCACCCAGACTTAAAGACAATTACAATAGTACTTTCAACATTACCTTGAAAAACAACTAGACTATAAACCCTCCCAATAATCTGAGTGAAAGAGAACTTAGTTTCTATTCCACATTCAGGGAGTCTTGCTTATGGGTGAAAAGCTGGCTTCTGGAGACAATCTATATAGTAAATGCCCAAACATAAATGTTTGATATAATCCTCAAGATATAAAAAATTCTGAGAACCAATGTGAGTAAACTTTGGGGACACAGATAAAATAGCTTTTAGAATAGTTATGCATACTATTTCTTTTATGAAATACTATTTTTATTTCACAAAGTAAACTTCCCTCAAAATTATTAAACAGAGCTTTGACTGGAACTACATCAGTTCTTCAACAGGTTTCAAAAGGATAGCATTACCTCAAGTTGTCTAAAGTATAATTTTGAATCCCAAACTAAAATTTTCAATATAAATTTTATCACATGCCAGGGATTTAGCTCAGTGGCACTGTGCCTGCCTCACAAGCACAAGGACCTGCCTCACAAGAGCAAGGTCCTGAGTTTAATCTCTGGTATTGAAAAAAACAAACAAAAAAAATTTATCACAGACAGCAAGTGCATGTATATTTAACATCAGTATAGTTATTCTGTTATTTGTCACACACACTAATGCATTGCTTCCCCTCCTCAACCCTGCCAGTGCTGGAGATCAAATCCAAGGCCTCATATATGATAAGCACACTCTCCCCCAAGCTACCATCCAGCCTCCCAGCAATGTATTGTTTTGGGGGTTTGTTGCTATTGTTTCCAGTACTGGGGATTGAACCTAGGGTCTTTGCACAGAGCTATACTCCTGGCCTTTTATATTTTTTATTTTGAGACAGGGTCTTGCTAAATTGCCCAGGCTGGGATTGAAGTTGTGATACTCCTGCTTCAGCCTCCCAGAGTGCTGGCATTATAGGTATGCACACCCATCTTTGGCTCATTGTACTTTATTTTAAAAAAGATCTTTAAAACAAATTTACAGTGACAGCCAACATTCACAGCTGTAAGTCTTTACCTAGGAATTAAATCTATGTTAAATCTCTTTGCATTCCCTTTTTAAAAACCCTGATTCTGTCAAATGACCCCTTAAAAATCCCAAACTACCACTGGCTGAGGCTTTAAAGCAATGTGTCTTTCCTTCCTCAATAGGATTTGTCCAAATTAAAACAAATGAAAGAGTATCTAGGACATAGTATATATGACTATAAAGATATTCTTTTTGATTCCTTTTTGCTGGGAGTTAACTACAGCACATGGTGGGTAACTTAATTGCAAAGCTGGGTATATACAGTGCCTGTTTTGAATCTTTACCATTTGCTAGCAGTTTGAGTCTAGCAAATTATTTCATTTTAAAATAGAAATATTACCACAGGATTATTCTGAGGATTACATGAGTTTCAGTAGAGGGCCCAGCACACAAGAAATACTCAGTAACCCTTAGCTGTAATTATTATAACTAGCAATACATTGTTTATTATAAAATGAATAAAAGCATAAAAATTCAAGTCTACTGTTACGTTTATAAAACATCTTCCCCCATTACCCACTCCTTAACAAATACCTCTTCTTTCAAACAAACATTTATTAAGTACTCTGGATTTAGACAACCTTGACTCCAACATAGCTTGATAACCTTGGGCAAGTTACAAGCCTCTCTGTATCTCAGTTTCCTCATCTGCAAATGGGAACAATATCAGCACCTACTTCCTGGGGCTGTTATGAGAGTCAAATGTGTTAATACATTTGCTAGTAGAGTATTCTCTATTACATAGGTCCCAAGTACTCTAGTCAATTCAGGTCAACATTGCACAAAGCAATACACTGGCCACTCACTGTAAGATGTCAGTTTGGGTAATTATAATGCCTGCCCTCAAGAGCTTGGATGGAAAGCACAATATATGGCACAGCATATTAACAAGGCTATTTAAATAGATCCGCATATATCTCTACATTTTTCTATATGCTCAGATATATCTCTGTATAATTATCTGTATATATAAGTATCTTATAAATGAATATAATATATAAACATGATCCTGAACATCTACGCAGTAAAGCATTTTTGATGAGCTAACCCCACTCCTAAACTATCTATGTTAACAACTATTTAGCACATCTGCTGAGGCCCTACCTTTAAAAATTTAAATCTACTGCAGTGCCACAAAGACAGAAAGAGGAAAAATCAGTTCACAGAGGCCCATCTCAACACCCCTTTACCCTAAAGAATCTACACATTACCTTAGACCATCTGGGAGGCTTTCATCGGATTTGGAAGCACATAAACTAGAAGAGGATTCCGGAGGACTGGGAGTATTGGCCACACCACCAGCTGCCTCAGATGCAGCCATCATGCTCTGTATATTCAGAAACAAAATACAGGCTGCAAGTTTAAAAGTTTAAATCAATGGATCTTTCCCCCTCAACAGCAACAGCATTGTTCTAAGATACAAAAAAGAAAAACTTGGGCTCCAGGAGAGAGGAAAAAAAAAAAAAAAAGAGAATTCCACAGAAAGG